TCTCTTGAAAATTATCTTAATTAACAATCGTTGGATAGAATGAAGTAAAGAAGTTTTAATTTGAGATTGTTGTACCCTGTCAGAACTCCAGTGTTCACTTCAACATATACAGTTCATGATAAAAACAAGCCTTAATTTCATACAGCTCTGCACACCCACTTCTAGAATACAACCCCAAAATACCTGTCATAAGACATTTTTTTTGACCAATCAGAAAAAAGACCACATGGGTTTCACAGCAGTAATATTTTCTCAGCCACTCACCAACTTTAAAGCCAATGCCACTTTCACCTACAAAGGCAGATCTGACCAGGCTGACATTAGTGACAGATCCACACAGCAGGCGAGCTTAATCAGGCCATCAGCAGCAACACATATACAACAACAGCAATGCCTTTGACAATGACAAAACAAGCAGCAGGAGCAGAGACTCTCAACTATAATGATGCAATAATTCTTGGAATATTTCTCCCATGGTTCTGTCCTACTCAACTACATATACATGTCAATTTATTCATACCAGTCTATCTCAAATACTACCTTGTTATACCCTGAACAAACTCTCAGTCTCTCACAGCTGGTATATAATATCCCAGAACAAGCAAATGATCAAACCTTGTAAGATACAGGAAATAAAAACTCTTTCATTTATCTCAACTACAACTTATCTCTATTTGTTTTTTCATTTATACTTTTTTTTCTTTTTAATAGTAAGGCTGCTGTTAAAAGATCTTGTATTTCCAGTTGTGACAAGTTAAAAAACATAAAGAAAGAGAAAAATTTCATAGAATATGGTTGTTAATTATAAAAGTATTGGGTTAGAAATATAACACTCTTCAGGACTTTCTGCAAGTTTCCGGTAGTATACCTTTTCAACTTCAAAATGATAATAACCAACTTCAAAATGGACTTATTTTCAAGTAAAAAAATTAATCAACTCCAAAATGGATTAATCAACTTCAAATTGGATCAATCAACTTCAAAATGGAACAATCAACTTCAAAATGGATTAATCAACTTCAAATTGAGAAAATGTCAAAAACCTAAAAACAACCAACTTCAAAATAAGAATAAACTTCAAATTGAGATATTTTTTTTGGTAAATTGAAAATTATTTTTTCAATTAATTTACCCCATGAGTAAGGAAATTGACTGTTCATCTTCATTATATAGATGAAGAAAAAACCAAAATACAAACAACTTAGAGGCCAAGAAAGCATTGGGTGGGCCTACAGTAAAAGTAGGAGGAGAAAGTCACGTATGAGCAAAAATGATGATTGATGATGATGCTGGAGAAACCTCGACAAAAGAAGCTGAAGAAGAATTAGCAACAGCTCCAAAGAGGACTTACCTCAAGAAAACTGTGGCTGGCAAAAAAAGGCCCAGATTTTAGCTGCACATGCTGCAGCAGGAAATTGGAAAGACCTGGCAACAACAATTGGTGTGCCTCTGCCAACAGTGTACCGTTGGTTAAACCAGGGTGCTGATAAGAGTGACTCTAGGGGAGGAGCAAGAAAATATAAAATTACACAAGAGCATAAGAATTTTATGGCCGAATTAATTGAAAACTCTCCTAGGCTCACTCTTCAAGACATTGTAAATAAGTTGGTCGAAAAGTATGAGGTTCGTGTGACGAAAGAATGCATAAGAAAGCACTTGGACTCCATGGCCTTTACTTTAAAAGCGGTTCATTATGAACCAGAAGCTGCCAATAATAATATCAATAAGGTGAAACATAAGAATTACGCAGTAGCTTTATTAGAATTTCAGTCCCAAAGTGTGCCAATTCTTTATATGGATGAAACCAATTTTAATCTCCATATTTCAAGAAGAGAAGGTCGCTTTAAAAAAGGCACGAGGTGCACTACAGTCACGGCCAGATCCAGGGGAAATAACATCCATGTTATTGGATGTATTAGTAATAATGGATTAATTCATCATAAAATTAAAAGAGGTTCTTTCAAAAAAGAGGATGTGAAAGAATGGACCAGGGAGTGCCTTAAAAAGGTAAATGAAATTTATGAAAGGGAAGTTGTCTTAGTTATTGATAACACTCCTTGCCATACTTCAATTGAAGAAGTTGTGGAGGAGGATGAATTTAGGCAACACCAAATTTTCAAAGTTGCTCCCTATAGTCTGATGTTAAATCCCATTGAAAAGGTTTGGTCAGTCATTAAAGCTGAGATAAAAAGAAGTATGGCAGACTCAATTGTTGGGATCTTTAACTACTAAAGAATTCCGCCTCAGCAAGTTAGAAGTGATGATCTCCGAGGCAATTAATAATATTTACCCTGAGACTTGCACTAATTTGTATTTAGAATACAGAGATTACTTCCCTCTGTAATTAACTTAGATGATGTAATCTTTTAAATAAATTTCTTAGGAACGTTTATATTTTTTTATATCCCTTTTAAGTAAAAATAAAAGAATAAATATTAAATTTATTAGTATTATATTAATTCTCAATTTGAAGTTGATTAATCCAATTTGAAGTTGATTATTTCTCATTTTGAAGTTGTTTTCCAATTTGAAGTTGATTAATCCATTTTGAAGTTGATTCATTTTTTTACCTGAAAATAAGTCCATTTTAAAGTTGATTATTATCATTTTGAAGTTGAAAAGGTATAGTAACAATAACACTACTACAAAAAGAAAAATTTTATCTCTGATCAAAGGGAGAATACTCATAGGTGATTCTTCAGCGACCACAAACTATCCTTTTCCGGACAATGTTCTTCTCATCCTCTACATGAGCATGCAGTGATATTTTTGCCTAGTGCACTGTAACTTCATTTTTGTTGAAGTAATTTCTTTAACAAAAATAAACTTGTCAATATATTTTTATTACTAAAGTCTTTGTTTCGTTTGTTGTTGTCTTCTGTTATTCAATATCTGTTTGCACCCCAACATACTACCAAGATAAATTAATTATCTTCTAAATGCTCAAGGTAAAGAGGATTTAGTAAAAGATGAAGGAATCATTCTCTCTAATGAAAGAACTGGAGAAACTTCTGCTTGTGTGTATGAAATTTTTCTTGGAAAAGAGAATCATTTGATTAGACTAATAATTAATGATTGCTATGAGAAAAGCCAACATTTGGACATTATTAAAAAATTATTAGAAAGTATTAATTTATTTAAAGTGGATGCCACTTTAAATAAATTAATAATACTCTCTTCTTTTTGGATTCCTGAGGCAAAAAATTACTATGAAAATGTTATTTCTTATGTAAAAATTTTAATTATCTCTTGTCAAATAGCCTAAAGCTATTACCAAACTGAATAACTATGATGAGACCTTTCTTTCATACAGGAACTAATTATGCTGGATATGTTTGGATAAAGGATCATATCAAAATGATAGACAAAATCAGCTTTTCTTGCTGAAATAAACAAGCTATGCATGTAGAACTTGTTAAAAGCATGAGCATTCTTGCCTTTGTTCTTCCCTTGACTAGGTTTACTAATGTTTATGTAATCCTTCTCATATATGCAGTAATAATGCCAGATCATTTGTTGGTGAGCATGATTTTTTAAAAATGAATTTGCTGCTAAGTTTCAATCCTATATTACAATCCCTCTATATTCTACATGAGTAGGAAGAGTGGGAGAACCTGCATCTATCCAGATTGAGGATGAGATGTCAGTAATGCCTCCAAATGTATGTTGTATATCTCGGTAGGGGAGAAGAAAAGTGATAGACATTCATTCCCAGATTATCTCAATCTATGGTATGGCTAATCATTTTCTGAATATTTGCAGGATTGAAATCTGAAGTGGAGGTTAGTGATGATGGACAAAACAAATGACAAAACAAATATTCAAATTCTGAGATTATGTAAATATTGCACTAGGAAAAATTAGTTAAAGTACCTGTAAATAAAAATGAAGAATGTTTTTTTTTCTCTTTCATTTAACTTCTCCCATCTTGTATATGGGTACAATGATTTTTTATCAGAGGAGTATGAAATTATTGGCAAATAATAAAAAAAATAAATTAGTAATCAGCACAAGTAGTGGGGCTAAAGTGGTGAGTTGGGCTAAGAAGTTGGACAATTCAAAAAAATCTTGTAGAAAGGTTGGTCTTTCAGTGCACTAAAATTGGTTCTTCTCTCTTAGCTTATAGAAGTAACATTTTAATTTTGTCAAAATTTAGGATGTTTTTTAAAAAGTTGGTGGAAAGTAAGATTCTTCTTCTTGAACATTACTTCCCCACATTAATGAGGAATAAATAATGGATACGAAAAAAAAAAAAAAAAATGAATTCGAACTCAGTTCGCCGATGTCGTGTGTCACGCCCGAATGATGAGTGACAAGCAAAAAAGTTGCTCGGATGATGATGATCATGATGGCAACAAATTGCATTTTAATATTTTTCACGATAGACCAATAATTAAATTTTTGTAGATTAAGTATGAAAATAGTAGCTCTATTGCATTAGATTGCTAAAAAAAAAAAAAAACTTTCTCATCAGTCCCTACTCCCAGAAATGTGCCAACCAAATACTCCAGCCAGCGAAAAACACGGTTTTCAACTGTGTACTGTATTCAGTCTCTATTTTTCGACAAAGGATGCTGAGAATTTTTGCACACAACTACTGTACCATATCCTAAAAATAAATATGCAAAACGAAAACTAGAAAGTCAAAGAATAAATTAAGCATAAAGATAAAAAGGACATCAATACATGCATACAATTACAATTCCATAATAATAGAGCAGGCAAACAGTGAGTGCGCCTCACCACTGCCCTAAACTTAATTCTCATTGGACGGTTGTTAATGATTTGGACCTATCGTATAGGACGATACAAATTCAAATTGGCAACATTAAACCTCCCCACTTTCCTTTTTCCGGTTGTCCTGTCGTCAACACGGCAGGAATATCTTCGTCAGCCTTGCGAATTTATAACGACTTTATTACTTACAATCAGATATGGCGAATCTTTTAGGACGGTTCTTCATTTTTCTCTTGCTTGTTTTACCGACAACCATCAACTTTATGAATAATGGTGAGTTATTTATGGTGGTGGTTAATGTATTTGTGTTGTTTTTCTAGGACTGATATTTTTGCTCCTACGTGGCATTCCGGTTTGTCGGTAGGGAGATGGGAGGATCACTTTAACGTGACTCTGGTATCAGGCAAATATATTTTAATTTTGGGTTTTTTTTTTTAGTTTTTTTATTCTTAGAAGTGTTTATGTTTTTGATTTTTTTTTTAAAAACAAAAAAAAAGTTTGAACGTGCAATATTAGTTTAATTTTTTTTTCTTTTAGTTTAATTCCTGCCATTTTTTTTTTTTTTTTTTTTTTTTATGCATATCTTTCTTTTTTTACTCCCCCCCCCACACAAAAAAAATAACCACATATGGTTGCATTGAATCCACAAAAAAAAAAAAGTTTTGTCTTTTAAAAATTATATGTGTAGACATTTTATTTTGTGCCATTCATACATAGATATTTGTTCCATTCACTCGTTTCAAGCCGGTTTGTCCTCCCGTAAAAATAGCAGACAGCATTACTTCAGTTTTTAAGAGACTTATGGATGGAGATTTCAACTTTTTCTTAGTTTTACTTTTAAACAATTTAACATTCTGTTTAATTTGTTTCTACCACTAGACTTTCGTAATGTATGAAAAAATAATGGAACAGGTGTTTGAATTTTTCTTTTGGCTTCAATTTAGTCTAAGTAAAAAAGCGCTTTAAAAAAAAAAAAAAAAAAAACACTTTTAAGGAAAAAATCGACCGCTTTTATGTTCTTATAAAATCTTCAGCAATATTATTTTTCCCCTGATGTCGTAGTTACAGTCAATCCGTTTAACACACAATTAAGTTTAAGTACAAAATGTCTTAACAAATATTTAATTAATTTTTAAGCTAACCTGAGAAACCTTTTACTTCGGTTTGTGCTTTAAAAAGCCTATTTTATTTTTTTTATAATATGCTGATCTGTTAAGTGATTTTAACAAAATTAAATTTAAAATGATCAAATAGTCAAATCATCTTTTAAGTTTTAATTCTTAATTTATAAAAAATATACTTATTAAAAACGTCATTCACTTTACTAACAAATAAAATTTAAAAATTTGTTTCGTGTCCGGTTTCATTGCTTCATGTACTTTTAAAATAGAAAGTCTTTTAAAATGTAAATTAAAAAATAACCTTAGCAAAGATTCTTTTCTGTTTTCAAAACAAATCTTTTATTCAACGCTGTCTTTTTACTGGTCTGAAAATGTGTTGTCCTTTGACCCTGGGGACAAGACGTTCCACGTTGGCAGGCAATAGAAACCCCACTACCTACTCGGGCCTCAAAGTAGATCAGGAGTGATTCACATTCTTCTCTCTCGAAATAGAACCCTTTCAATCTATACTTGCCGCTATATAATATTCTCTCTTACCTAGAAAAACCAAGCTAGGATGCAGGTAAAAACATAAATGACTACCTTAGTTATTGGCCATATGTTAATAATCTGTACCTGCAAACTTTCAATCACACATTTTATCAAGGAAAACATTTCTGGACAATACTTGATTTATTATCATTTATGTTAATTGAAGTCATCAGTCCATATTTGTTTAAAAAGATCTCTTGTTATATGTGTGTCTTCGTGTGTGTATCCACAAGGAAGTATTGAAAAAAAATTCACACTCTGACCAAGAAGGAATTTACCCCCCAAATTCTGATATTTGGTCAGATTTTGGGAAGTGTGTAGGGCTGAAAATTTTTCAGCATCTTCCTTATTATAAGTGTTTCTGAAGCAGTGAAAAAGAGTAACTCTGATTAAATGTAGTTTTTATCTATTGGCAAGAGAAAAACTTGGGGCAATTGGTTATTGTGCTTTGTTTTGCAAGCTGATATTTTGTTCTTTTCGGAGTACTCAAAAATCTAGCCTTGTGCCCAGAAGGTATCTAAATGGTAAAAGACAAAAATTGTCAAATAAAAAAATAACCCTCAGTATCTAGAAGAAATTTCCTAACATGCTTTTCTTACTCTTAAGTTTGCATACAATTTCAGCAGTCAACCAAAACTCTTTTGTCATTACTTCAATTCATTAAAATCATGAGCTTAAAAGTACTATGTCAGATTTATCATTTGTCCCTTCAGTTACAAACAAAAATGTTGTTAAACTGGCTTTGTTCTACATTAATTGATGGGAGTGATTTGCTTAAGGTTATACATACAATTTATTGGTAACTATTGACAATGTAAATGTTAATTGTGCAAATTCTTAAAAAAAAAAAAATGGAGCTGAAATCTGCCATAAAAACTTTCTTTACTACTAATAAGAATAACCTTAGTGTATATTGAATGAAGATTCTTTGATGAAATAATTAGCATCCTCAATGCCAATATTTTGTGGGTTTTGTTGTAGGTGGGAATGGACTAATGGGGATTTCTTAGACTAAATAACAACACTAAAAAGCATGTATTAGTTACAACTGTATGCATAGGATAAAGTGAAAACAAGGCATAAATTTAATAAAAAGGATGTATATGCTGTACTGTTTAGCACTTAATAATAGGTAAAATACTGAAAATGTTATATCCATCTGATGTTGAACATCTTATTGCTGTGTAATAGTGGAAAATAACATTCTCTTAGTGTGTGTTTGTCTCCTGCCTTTATAATAAACATATTGTAACAAACTCCATTATTATAAAACTTGGCAACCTCAACATTTTTGTTTATTTTTTTTTTTTTTCCCTAAAGTCAAAAATTTTTCACTTGAGAGATGCACTTAACAGCTTCATTGGTGTATTCAAATTGCTTTTCTTTTTTTTTTTTTTTTAAGTAGTAGTCTTTGGTACCATTATACCATGAAATGGTAAATTATTTACTCAAACTATGATCAGTCTGATCCATACCAATCAGCTTAATTTAAGACATTTTTATGTTTATACATACTTTTTTTTTTTTTTTTATAGATACAAATATTTAAGTAAATGCTGTTTATAATAAACGGTATTAACATTTACCGGCCTGAATGCCCAAGAAATTGTCATAGAAAATATGCGTCCTCCAACAGGAATCGAATCTGTATCCTATACGGAACTGTCATATAGCCTGATGTGCTTTTACCCATTTAGCCACAGAGGAGCTTTTCGGTTAGCAAAGTCGATTTTACTGTTTTTAAACTTCAATTTTCGATGATCTTCTCCAGTGCATTTGTATCTGCTCAATGAGTATCCAAATGTAAACAAATGACATCACACATTATGAAATGGACAAAGTCTGACAATTATTTTAAGACATTTTTATATTTGTACATTCTTTTTTATAGATACAAATATTTAAGTAAATGCTTTATAATAAACATTTTTTATGACAATTTCTCAGACATTCAGGCCGGTAAATGTTGTTAATACTGTTTATTATAAACAGAGCATTTACTTAAATATTTGTATCTATAAAAAAAAAAATGTATAAACATAAAAATGTCTTAAAATAATTGTCAGACTTTGTCCATTTCATAATGTGTGAAATTAGCTTAACTAAAATTGAGTTTTTAACCACAGTTCATGACCACCTTTTGCATACAATGATATTATGTGTCTGTATAAAACTTTTTTTTTTATTTAGCATATGAAAAATTTGGACCTAAGTTTTACTGAATAATGCAAGATGCATGTTTGTCTTATTTGAATGTAGATACCTAGAGCTGTCATAGGTAAGCAAATTAGTTTCAGTTAAGACATTTTGCCATTAATTACAAAATAACTTTTTTTTATTTCATTTTGTTCTTCACATTCTGCTGTGACTATTACCTAATTTTCAGTAATATTAATCTTTGGGGAATCCTATTTTGAACCTACATGTTGGTGCAAATGAAAAACATTGGTACTGAAATCATTAAAGGATCATTCGACTTGGACCAGATTTGAATGTATTCATTTCAATCTCTGAATTCTTGCAATTCCACTTGGATAAATAACACTTCTAATATTTCTAATTATTTTAATACCCAACCAAATAAAATGCAATAAAAACACCCTATGACATTAAAAGCAAATTCTTTCTATCTCTCAGCTCTTAACAGATTTGATGGTTTTGGTGAAACTGTTCTTTTTAACTGAGATACTAATAGAAATGGAATAATGTCTTAACAAGAATGCAAATGTTAAAATTCCATCTATATTAAGATACCACAACTGCAGTTTGGATAACCATCATTCCCCTTGAGTGCTGCTCTAGAATTTAAACAGCTGTATTTATTAATTTGTGAAATTTCTTAGACAATCCATTGTGTATTACCAACCTTTTTTTATTAAAGCTGAAATTTAAGACCTTGTGTTTAATGGTCCAGTACTCTGCCACAGTCATACCCACAAAAGTTTAATGAATGGCCAAGACCTGATAAATTTCCCTAACCCTGCTCTATATTATGTGTGTGTTTTTTGTTTTATTTTTATATATATATATTATATATATATATATATAGTTTTTATTGTTATATATATATATATAAAAACAATATATATATATATTGTTGGAATTATGTCATGTCTGTACAAAGCTGACATATTTCTTAATGGTCCTGATCTTATAACTCTTATTTGGTATATTTCTTCTCTCTCATCTTTTTTACTTAAAAGCTAACCTTATTTCCTGACAGATCTTTATACTTGTTCTACAGCTTAATTACAAAGCTTGTCACTTTAACAAATGTGTCCAAACTGAATGAAATGTGTAATATAGTGATAATGGAAGAGTATTTTAATGCAGACATTTCATTGCTTATAGAATTTATATTAATTTAACTAACTCTAACCCAAGCAATGAAGGCAAACATGCAAGGACTGACCTATAGTGATTTATGCAAATGTATTACATATTTTTTTTAGAACACTGACAGGTGATGGTCTTTGGTTGAATGGAAAGGGAAAAACTTGGGCAGAAATCTTCTATTATTGCTAAGGCCTCATGTCAAAATCTAATATAACCTCTAAATGACATTTTCTAATTTGTCACATGGATTTTATTACTTGGCCTTATTGGTTTTTTACTATATTGCAGAGAGAAAAAAGGCCTGCTCTGAGTCCTAATTTTTATATTAGGATTAAACTGTTTCCAAAGTAGAAATAACCTAAGCTCCATTCAGAAAACCTTGAATGCTAAAATCAATCTTCTCACTTTTTTTTTTCACCTCAAACATGATGAATGGTAAAAATAATTTGGTATAATAACAATAACTTATAAACTTGTTAATTTTAGTGTTTCACTTGTCTATAAAGACTACAGGTATGGCCTGTTTCAATATTTAAGTAGTAAATGTTAGAAACATGAAACACTTTTTCTTTTTTTCTTTTTGTCAGTTCATCCTGAAGAATACATACTGACCAAAATTATAAATACCCTAACATAATAAAAAAAAAAATACTCAAACTCTCCACTACACCAACTAATTTTACCAATAGATATTGTTCTCGCTAGTGTTCTTTTTTTTTTTTTTGCTCTCTCCACTGTGAAAATTTAGTTGTTTCTATATACGTGTTACTGCCCAACCTAACTATAATGATTGGTTGTTTTGTAACCAATCAGATTACATGATGTACAAAAAATCTTAAATCCTGAGTTTAAATTTTCTTTTTTCAAGGAAATGTTACCTTGAATTTGGATGTTTTTGGTGTACCAACATATGAATCTTAGTCACTTGAAGATTTAAGCCAATGTACCTGAAGTTGTATATATTTATCCTTTCTGCTGAGTAGTCAGTTTAAATGTATTCCATGAACAATCTTTGCAAAATCTTAGATGGCATTAAAAACCTTTTTTTTTTTTTTTTGTTGGCTATGCAAACTTAAGCACAAAACAATTTATAGAACAGTCAGTAAGGATGAAACTCACTAGTAATAACTAATTTTGATGTTTGGTGATATATTTATAAAGCTTATATAGAGATATTTTGTCAAGATTCTTTTTTTTCTTCAATTTTTATATAAAGAAATATTTTTTATTGCTGTTTGAACCAAATGTTTCTTGTGTAATATAGGAAAGTGTACACTGTGAATGTAATATGCAAGTCATTATTTTTTTTTAAATAAACTTGGTATTAACCAACCAGAATTGCTTTTTATTTAAAAATAAAAAATTAAATATTTAGATATATTTATCATAAATATACAATGAGTTTCAACTTGTTTGTTTTTATTAGAAATATTTACAATTATTTGGAAGTGAGATTATGCAAGCTGAGATTTGTTTATCATATATAAACAAATATGCATAAGTTTACTATGGATTTCTAAAAAATATAGAAATGAGATTGTAAAATTATTAAATGAGAATAACATTGAAAATTGTGGGAAAGTTAACAGGTTAGAGAACCATAAAAAAAAAGTGAAAATATCTACAAAGAACAGGAAAACTGGGTTTAAGAATATCACAAGACCTTTAAATTTAAAGGTCAATTAACCAGCAAGAAAATATTTGAAAAGATGGTATTGCAAATGTAAGCATGAAGAATATTAAAAAGAAATATTAAAGACATGAAATAGTTGATCAACACAACTTCATAGACAGAAGTTGGGAGGTGGAGTAATGTTTTGGACTACAAAGAAAACCTTTTTTGAATATTAGTTTACAACCAAGAAGTTTTAAGTATATAACAGGGTAGTAACTCTGGTTCAGCTTTTTAATGCATAAGGATGTATGATGACAATTAGAAGCAGGAAATAAGATTATACTGAAAAAAAAAAAAAAAAAAAACACAGGGATACTAATTATGTGTTGAGTATAAGTAAAAGAAAGAAGAGATTAAAAATAATTGGAAACCATAAAGTGAGTTTGGGAATGACTAGGAAGATTTGAACCTGAGATAAACAGGGTTCAATTTAAATTAATGTAAAAAAATAATAATAATAATAATAAATCTTGGTTTAAAGCAAAAGATTTAGAAAAGATCTAGCTTAAATCACAAGTTATTATTCATGTAACTTCATGAAGGAAGGAATGAAAGTGTTAGATATATTTGAACAATAAAATTTGAACCATTCAGTTAATAATTGCCTTGCTTATTATGCTTAAGCATGTTCAAATTCTTCAGTATGAGCAGTGTTTACATTCATCGTTTTGAACAGAAACAGGAGTTTTGCTATTCTATTTTTATCCAGAGAGTTTCTTAGTTTGAAATGCCTGTCATAGCTTGCATCCCACACCCTCAGGACCATCAAGGGAGTCCAATGAGAATTTCTGTGGAATTAAAAGCCAGCTGAACTTCCTCTACACCATCATTCAGCACAATATTTGCTGACTCAGATGATCATCCTACCAGGGTCATTTAATAGTTCGACCCACCATCTGCAAACTAGAGATGACCCCCACAGCCACTGGAAGAACAACTTCTGCCAAGTACCTTCGTAGCATGATATTTAGCAGCATCAGTCCATAGGAAGAGAAAACTTGCTCAGTGGCAGATGAGGCCACTGCTGACAGTTGCTTAACTGTAGAAAGTATATCACTGTTCAAAACACTTGTATAAGAATCCCATCATTCTATAGCAGGCTCTTATGGTGTCTGCAAATTTAAATACCTGCAAGGGAGGAAACTTCACTTGCAACTTTATAATAATGGGAACAATTATGGAATATTTCTCACTGGCATATTCCAACATATTTACTTCCTCATTGCTTAATGACTTGAAAATAAATATGAATCATTTTGTCAAGAAATTGGAATTTGATGAATTCAGTTTTTTGGTTCAAGTGCTTTTTCAAATTCTTGAACAATTCTTTCCAAATATCCACTGCTTTAGTAATGGTGCATGTATCACTGAATTTTATCCAAACCTTCAGCTATTGGTTGTAATTTAGAAAGCAGTTCCTCTGCGGGTTACTTGAGTACAAGGTTGTCCACCTTATTTCTCACAAGCAGTTCTTGGTGTTGTGGAGGCACTGTTTGAGTGGAACTTCCTTACAATTGAAATACAGAGGGAATGTGATTAATTCAACTCCATAGATGTAGGATGGGTAGTCCTAACTGTAAATGTTAGCTGGTGAGCTGGTGGTACTAAACAGTGTAGCTCATCTGAACTAAAAATATTAGATAGGAAATATAATTAATTGTACATTTTTTATTTTTTTATACTTTTCAACAAGAAAATTGTGTGCAGCATCATGAAAAAAATAAAAAATAAATTATAGGAAAAAATATAGTATTTTTGTTTTGTCTTTCAAGTGTTGGACATATTACACCTTTGCCAACCTTAAAGAGGAGGTCTATATTTATGGCCATTTCACATACATCAGTTGGGTCATTCATAATCAGAGTAATAAGTATACTTGAATAGTATACAAGAAAAATGACCAGGTTATTTATATTTAGATTCATGCTTTGGCTTTGAGCATCTGCCATCTACTTGCATTTGAGTATCAAATAGATGGGCCAGGATGATGATTCTCTGTTAGGATAAAAAATCTGCCATGTGACTTCCTAATTCTAACTACCTCTTAATTGAGGTTGTGAGTACTCTAAAGCATCATAATTTACAACTGATGGACATCCAATTTTGGGCTTTCTAAGGACAACTCACTACCTTTAAAATGCCATAACCAGCTTTGGGCAGTGCAGTCAAATATTTTTTAATTTCCAAATAATATCTCAATGTTGTGTCTGAGTATCGGTCTTCCGATGCTCACATGAAATCTTATTTGTCTTCTTTTTCCAAAAATCCCTGCAAATCCCAATCAATTGATCTCTTATTTTGCCACAAGTTATTAAACCCCACCTACCCTTTATATGTGTAAGTTTTACAATTAATTTTCCATAATATTTTTCAGGTGCTTACCAAAAGGGCTTTGCTTTGGCTGAAGATGCTGACTTAGTTGAGGGTGAGGAAGAAGAAGCTACTGTAGAGACTGATGAGGGTGCTGCTGAGGAAACAGCAACGGAAACAGAATCTGCTGTCACAGATAAGGTGTTTTTTTTTGTTTTTTTTTTAAATATCCCAACTAAAGGGTAAGCACATAACATCTATTTATTGTGGCAGGGTTAGTGATAAACTTCATGTACTATTCCAGGGCACTTTATATAAAAAAGAAATCCAAACTTTGAAGAAAAACCACATTATTGTAAAAGTTTGATTTCTCTCTTTCAGGGTGGAGAAGAGGAGGATGATGATGAAGAAAAACCCATTACCTCATCTCCAGATGCTGACACATACATTCTCTTTATCAAGCCAGTTGTGTCGTCAGGTGAGTACAGAATAACTGTAACCATCATACTGGTCCTTTTTTCTTTTTTTTTGGGGGGGGGGATATTTTTTCCTCCCCCATAACATTAAATTAACCAATTAACTAGCTCAAAGCAGATCACTCATTAATAAGGAGTTTGATCCTGGCTAAAGTAAACAAAGTTGTTCTTATACCAGAGTTGACTTAATCTAATAAATATCTGCAACCTGAACATAAGTCATGTACTGAATTGTATGTTATGTGTGTGTACACACACACACACACACACACACTGTGTGCTTTTCTATCTGCTTTTTCCATAACATGATTGTATATAACATTAAACTTTAATTGTATTTTATTACTCAAGATCTTTCTAAAGTTACAGAATAAAATAAATTCTGACACCTTCTTTTCTCATCCATACAGTTGAATTTTTATTAACCTTAACCCACAAATTGGAGGGTAACCAGCAGAATATCCTACTGTCAGAAGTGACCTCTTTGGTGCGTGTTTTTAAGAATAGTGAAAACAAATTGGGGGTGGTTCTTAGAAATAGAACATGGACACTAGTCTGGCTCATGGCCGCAAGTATAAATGGCAAATGCTCACTAAGATTGCAAATTTGAGACATAGGCACCCATACTTCTGTTATTCTTATTCATTTGGTCCAGTCACAATCCAACCACATTTATTTCAACATGTTTCAACTTACCCCCATATGATCATTCACCTATTGAGAAAATAATGGCTTCAGAATTCCCTTGAAGATTACCAAGTATGACTGGCATTTATAAAAGGCCAAAAGATATATTAACCAAAATGTTGAGGAAAAAAAACATAACTGAGGATGAATCTGAAAGAATAATTCAGTGTGACACTACAGATATGGTGCATTTTTACAAGAAAGTAAAGTATACTGAATATTTTACTGTTAGTTTATTATTAAATTTATCTTTGATTTCTTTTTCTTGTAAAATAAAAGCAATTAAATTTGAAAAGGGACAGGAGTTAAAATAAAAATTTGGAACAGTTTGTTTTAGCAAACAATTTTATTTCAGCAAAAAAAAAAAGTGGGGGGAAATAATTCCTGAAAAATGATTGATTATAAGCTATTTCTCCTCAGAAATGTACAATATTTAGGGTTACTAGGAAATTAAAGTACTTCAGAACACTTATTTTGGGGCCAGTTTTGCAAAATGTCTGCTTAATATCAAGCCTTAATTTATAGTTAAGATTTCCTAATTGGCCAAATGTGGATTGATAGATAATGTAAATCATGTGGTCCTACTTTAGATTTCTTAGCTAGAACTAATGGAACTGAAAGGTTAGTGCAATGTAGGGTAGACTGAGAGGGTTATTTGGAATACATTACATAGTGGAAAGAAATTAATAAAAACTTGCATATATACTATCCCAGGATCTGTCTGTCCTTTGTCCTATTTTGAACAATTCCCTACTAACAACACATCCTGAGAGGAAGACTTAAATCTGAAGACAAAAAGCAGAATCTTGAGGGTAGATTGTTTTTTTTATGGTAAACTCAAGACAACAAGGCTCTGTCTTGTCACAATTTCACTATCTTTGTCTCATAGGATAGAACTTATGAAAATCAACTAACTCAAGTTAGCCTTTGACTGGAAAGAATGAATGAGACATTGTAAGAATGCCTCATTCATTCTAATGCTAAGAAAAAAAATTATATTATTAAAAAATGGCCATCTTTTTGTTTTCAGTTTTGGTGTGTGCATTACAAGAATATCTCTTGTTGCCTGGTGTTCATCTTATCAAATACTTCAGCGAAACACTTCCTGTTTCCATAGATTTTAAAATTACATGAAGTAGGATATAGCAAACTAGTGAGCATTGTGGTACAATAATAGTAATAAAACCTCATCTTAGAAATTAGCAGGAGTGCTGGCTAATTCTAATGTTTTTTTTTTTTGTTTGAGTGGGGGATCCTCTTCCTTCTATATCATGTAAGTTATCCCTCAAAAAAATCTGATTTAATTCTATTTGAGTGCTCTGATAATGTACAGCAATAAACAGTAGAACTAAGCCTTCACTGGGCAGCAAATTTTTTTTTAAGTTGTTTGTTTTTCCAAATGATTTAGAGCAATTTTTCACTGCTGAATCTGAAAATGATAGCCATTTCTCTTGATCAGGTCATGTTTTTGTGCTGTTGAGTTTTTAAAAATCCGATCTAAATCAATTACATTTTAGTGATATTATTGATTGAATTTTTTTTCATACTTCTCATACATAGATTTTTTCTCTTAAAACGTTAACACTATTAGTTAAATGTTACAAACATCAATTACAATAAATTGAATAGTATACATTGATAAATATAAGTACATTTAAATTACATGTTATGTCATTGTTCAAAATTCAATGCTTGAATTCCATTTATTCAAACCCTTAGAATGATCTACGGCAGGGGTGTCTCACTTCAAAGTCTAGCAGTAATCAAACATCATGACTGCATTGCAGCATCCCCGATACTTTTTTTTTCATGTCCTGATGGAATCTCTCCCCACTGTTTGTTCATTGATCCCAGATTATCAGGAAAACAATCCATATGTGAGAATAAATAGTCAGCATATTGATGACAAGTTCTGTATAGTTCATGGCCAGAACAAAACCCTTCCATGCTTCCAGTTCTACTTTGTACATTGGCGTTTTCAAGCTCTAGATTACCGAGCTGACAGATTTGAGGACCATCAAATATGCCAGCTTTCAACTTCTCCATTGTCAATCCTGGAAAAGTCTGTCACAAGTAAGTGAAGCAGCCACTATCCTTGTCCAGAGTCTTTGTGAACTGCTTGATCAAGCCAAGCTTGATGTGCAGTAGTGTGAAAAGTATCCTGTCTCTGTCCACCAGAGGCTTATTGATGACGTTTGTTCAATTCCTCCCGAACAGGCCAGTCCTTTTTTGTGCAATGCTATCGCACATGCACAGAAAGCATGGGTACTTGGTGAACCCAGACTGTTCCAACAAAAAGTTCACCATCTTAGGTCAACATACGTAAATCATTCATGCTTTTCTCCAGCACATACTTCACTGCTTCATATTTCTCCTTCAATGTCTAGTGAGTGAGAAGTACAGAGGCAAACTGGTTGCTATTGTGCAGCAGAACACTTTTCAATGATAGCTTGCTGCTGTAAGTGGACAGTCTCCAATTTTGTGCAGAAACTGTATATCTGTACAGTACACTTATACCAAAATAAAGAAAATAAGCATACTGTATGAAACTTGATTCCTGTTAGAAACAATGGTATATTTGCTGCAGATGTAGCAAAATATGCCAGGCTTCTTTTTACAAGGTCTTCTGGTCAAAGCCGTCTTGTTCACCAGTAAAATAAAAATCTCAATTCGACATAAGTTAATGCATTTATGTTTTCAGAGTTTTTTTTTATATCAAGAACTAAAAAAAAAATTGCATCATATAATATGAAAATACTTATACATCTGAAGGTGGTCTCTTTGAGGTTTGAACAGTGCTGCTGAAATTGTTTCTTGATAGTGTTTGTGGAAGCAAATGAGGTCTTGAATATCAGCAGTTAGTGACATGGCCCTTAGTGGAATCTGAGAGATGCTGTCATTGGGGTCAAACATTGTGATTTTTTACCATTATTCTTGAGAAATTGGCTCCTGAATTGTATAATTTTATTTATTCCTAATTGGCCCTAAAAAGTCACACGTATGTTTCCTACTACATCCGTGCAATGTTTTGGCTGTATACCCAAATTATAATGACTAATGAAGCAACCTTTCTGATTTGTATTCTATTGTACAATTTAAATGTGTTTTGAGATGTAAGCACTTTATTGCGTGTTATTGTTTTATAAATTTTTTGGAGGCATGTTTTAATATTTATGAAGCTATTTTGGCTAAAAATACTTCTGATGGGATAAAATTAATAAGTTTATAATTAACATAATAATTAATTTTGTGTGAAATATGTTGCATATTTAGATATCTTAATGAACATGACAATATAAAAAAACTAAAGACTACCACGCAAAAAGTTGACCTGATTGAGCAAAACAAATGTGATTTTTGGATTCAGCACATTAAAATTCTTAAATCAGGTAAAAAAAAAAAATTTAGACAATAAATTTGGTATTGACCAGTGATTAAAGAATAATCATTTGTCATCTTTAGAATTAATCTTTTATTCTAAATTTTAAATTTTCAGATTTACCAGCTGGAAAGGTGGTTCGTGTGTTGGTGGGTTTCACAAACAATGGCAAAAAGAACTTTGTGATTGATACCATGGAGGCTTCTTTCAGATATCCACAAGATTTCACATTCTATATTCAGAATGTAAGTAATTCTCCAGGAAAATAAATCGAGCTTAGCCAACAAAATTTTTCTACTTTCAGCCACAAGTTTTTTTGAGTTCCAACAAATGCTTTTGAGGATTTTTGTGATGAGATTTTTTTTTTGATTTTTTTTTCTCGGCAGGTTAGCTTTTTCAGAATAGGTAATTTCACATAGTCAGATTTTGTGGTGCACACAATTTGACTTGTGACCCCTAACCAATAATGAGCAAGGCAAAAGTTTGCACTATAACAGGAGGAATTGTAATTACATATTAATCCTGTTTTGCCATCTAATATCAATGAAAGTGATATGATGTTAATCCTTTAATTTCTACCTTATTTATTTCATAAATTCCCAATGACTCGGACTGTTTTACTTTTTAAATTGTACAAATTATATATTAAGTAACATTACAAGTATTATTTATTAAACAGATTGAGGGTGAGATAATTCTTTTCCCACTACTGTATATTCATTCACTCTGCTAATTATAATGACAGTTCTAGTTAGGCAAAAAAAGGAACTTTAGTAAACACTGAATTTCAAAATTTTTACATATTTGTTTGGCTACATTTTGGTACTTTTTCTTGTGCAGTAAAAACCAGGAAGAAAAGAATTGTCATGGATCAGGAATTAATGCAAATATTACAAACATAGGGTTACGTTTAATGTGTGTGTAATTGGTACTCTTTAAACAATGTATTATTTTTTTCGTTATCATCAGTGAATTTTTCTTTCGCCAAGAATATGCCATGAAGACTTAACACTAAGTGAAATGTCAAATATTTAAACTACAACTGACTTCGGTTACTTTTTGTAATTTTATCCAAATACTCTAACTTAAACACAACTAACACCCAATTTGGTTAAGTCAAATGACCAATGGTGGAAGCCCCCATCAATACTGGAAAGAGTGATAACAACTAATGGACTTAACCTATTTTCCTGAAAAATTGTTTTAATCGAGATTTTATAAATTTCGACTAACAACCATAATGGTTGCTCAGTCAATGCCTACTGTTTACTCATAAAGAAATGGCTAATATTACCATTACCATTTAATCTATTGAACCTGTGTATGGTCTGATCCTAATCATACTAGTAAGCCAATAAGATCCTGTACTTCAATTTTTGAGTCTGTAAAGTAATGTAACTTAAGAAGAAAGGTTTCGTGATCAATTAATATCACCAATTATATTCAGGTGCATTGAATGCTCTCAACAAGATTACTCAAGTGTTTCTGTAAATAGTTTAATTTTGTGGTTCATTTTATAGTTAATTGGACACACTTTTCACTGGTTTTTATGGATATGATTTGGAATATATCTACCAATAGATAGAAAGGTTTAATGAATATAGTATTTGAATTTTTATTCTACCATTTATTTTTTCCAGTTCACAAATGTCCACTATAACCAGGTTATAGAACCCAAACGACAAGCCAGCTTTGAATATGAATTTATCCCCAATGAAGCTCTACATGCTAGGCCTTTTGGCCTGGTTATCAACATCAACTACCAAGATGAGGTAAGTTTTTATGTTTGTCATTCTAGACAATTTTTCTTGCCACAATCTTACACCTTTATAAGTCTACCATTCATCAACTATTGCTGTCACGTCTGATGGGTGAATTGTCGCCATTTTTAATTTTGTGTATGTGCATTGTTTTTGTCAACTGCACAGTATAGTAGGGTCACTTGGGTATCATCTGTGAGAAAAAGAACACCATGACACAATTCACTCGGCTAGAAATTTGGAAGAAGTATACCGCACTGCTTGGCATTTGCACTGGAAGCTCCAATACGAACATTTCAGTGTTTGGATGTCAATCTGAGGACAGTACAAAGGATTTGGAAAGAGGTAGATGAGTCTAATGGTGATTATGAAGGTACAGCAGCATGGAAAATTTACTCTAATTATTCTGATGAGAAAAGAATTCCTGAATTTGTTGATGAAGGCTGCAAACTCCACATGGTGGCCTACATCAAGTGCCTTGAAGAGGGAGTGCTGCCCTGAGTCAAGAGGGTGGCTGCTGGAAGACCCTATGTCTGGCAACAGGACTCTGGGTTCTCATGCTTATGTGGCATGGTGCAATCATGGCTGTCAGACAATTTCTGCAACCACATCACCCCTTACATCTGACCGCCTAACTCCCGAGACTGCAACACTCTTATTATGTGTAGGTTGCAGTTGAGCTTTGTTACTGTGTAATTTTGGTAAATAGAACTTCAAATGAGATGTCTGTGTTATCATTTTTGCATAATTTAGACAATTTTTCTATCGCACACTGTATATCTACAGATTCTTGACAAAATAGAAAGAATCTGCAATGTTGTTGGTCTTAAAACATCATCTCTACGTCTGTCACTTTCCCACCATCATAACATAGCTTCTTTTTGCCTTTCCTATAAATATTTTCATGGTAATTGTACTGATCTTTCCTCTTTGGTCCTTCAACTTCACGAATTTAAATGCGATGCTAGATTGGCTACATGGTCTAGTTTTACTGTTGAAGTAGCTGGATGTAACCATGAGATCTATGCTAACAATTTCTTCCCTCACACTTCACGCTTGTAGAACTCACTTCTAACCTCTTGCTTTCGAGCCAACTATCATCTTAAAAAATTTAATTGCACCCTCATGTAATATCTTTTTGAATTCTGTTCTTTCATTGTCTTTTCTCTTTAATATTTTCTCCAGTTTCTTTCACTCTCAGTAATCCCTTGCATCTTGGTGACTTTATCACCTTGCTTGGGGTGAAATGTTAAAAAAAAAAAAAAAAAAAAACTTTGTTCCTCCCATAAATCATGGCTGAAAATCTTGACAAGGAATTAATAACTGACATTTCAATGTATAATTTATGCAACATTTTAGAAAGAAAAAATATACACTCAAAATGTCCCCCCAAATTAATTTAGATTCAAACAAAATGTTTTTATTTATAAACCTTGTTCATGAAACTTATAAGTATATAGGGAATCAATAATCAAGTGATTGATATTTTTTTCTTAATATTCCAGTTAAACTAATATTGATTATTTACAAAATGGTTATTTTTCTTTTATTGATATACAAGTATTCTTTCCTCCTTTGCCCATAGGATGGAAACATTTTCCAGACAGCAGTTTTCAATGAAACTGTCAATATTGTTGAAGCAGATGATGGCCTCGATGGAGAGACGTAAGCATTCCTCCTTGACAAATTTTAACCATTTTATTTTGAAGAATTAAATATCACTTTCTCTAAGTTTTTTTTCTTGTCTACATACTATCATATCTTGTGAGTCTCTTGTAAATATGCCAATACCATAAGAATGGTTTCTGAATAAAGAGACTGGCAAACCAACTTTTCACAGTAATTTCAAATATATAGTCTATAATTTATATAATAGTGTTTAAATCAATTCATTAAATTCTGTATTTAATTAAATCTGTATACACTAGATCATTTGACCCTCTTCAAGTAAGGCATAACTTTCATCAGACTGTAAATGGGTTGTTATGACTCTATTATTCATCTCAACCCAAATAATAATAATAATAATAATAAAGAGATCCATAAACTTTTTATAAAATGTAGACTTTTTTCTTTTTCCAGCTTCTTCCTTTATGTTTTTCTAACGGCTGTTATTGTTTTGGTATTGGTTGGAGCCCAACAACTTCTTGCCTCTTTAGGAGTAAGTATCACCTTCTCTGAGGTTGTGTTTGTGCATACACATACATGTGATATATCTTACTCACAAATACAGTAAGACCACTCTCTACTGCAAGTACATTTACTAATGAAGACTTCTATAAAACTGTGAAAAGCATCTTAAATATAAAACTAATTTTTGAGACTTATAAAGGGATGCTAAAAAGTTCTCGGTCCAACCCATTTCCTCAAATCAGTATTTCAATAACCAAACCTCAGAATATTGATTTTGAGATCTGAATCAGACAATGAACTTCAGCACACCTCAAAAAGGAAATTCTGAATGGCTCCAGGTAGCTATTCAGTATAGCTTAATCTGGCACAAGTCTCAGTGAGGTTCCTACAAGGATTGAACTATACACTACTGAATTGATATGCAAGCTCTTTAACCATTGTTCCATGGTAGATTATTTGCTTCATAATTATAAGTCTCCTTGTAATTTCTTCTATATAAAGATTTATCATTTGAGAAATTTTCTGTTTCAAGGTGAAAATTTTTTTTTCATTATAAAGCATGAACTGGGAAAGTATAAAGATTTCTTGGAAGTTGTACCTACTTCGAAAATCATTTCTCATAGCAGTGGTATATGATCTAGGAGTGAACACTGACCCTAGTAGGATATATGCAACTACTTTCACTATATAACTTTATTTTAAGTTGATCTATTCAATGAAATAGTGGAAAATCACAACAAAGAAGCCACTTACAACTTTTCTAAATTTTAATAATACCTCTCAGGCTGTTTACCTTATGATTTGAAGATCCACACATGTCAGCACATAGACTTTGGGTAAATGTCTGTACATTGCAGGTATGCTGTATACAAAAAAAATGGAAATGATGATACTTTCAAATCTACTAATGAGAGAATAACACAAGAAAGTTAACCTGTCCTGTTGATGACAAGAGCCACAACTGTTTGGAATTTTTAAGCCAACATATGCTTTATTGGCATGTAGTGATGAAAAAGACAGGATTGATCAAATACCAGCTGGGAATTTTTTTAAGTTAACAGAAGTAATGCAAATACATGATCTTTTTATCGGGATTGCTGTTTTTGGCATGTGTTGACCCAACCCTTATTTAAGATATATTGTTCAGTGTAAGAATACATTTCTGGTCATTGAGTGCCACAATAAATTTAATTAATTTTATGTACATATAATCTTTAGATTATTTTCCCAATGTATCCAGTAAGACTAAGCCAATTTCTTTGAAGTATCCTCTCTATTTCTGCAATTTGACATAAATAAAACTTTTTGATCTTAGAAATTATGGAATAGACATTGTATTATGAAACTGAAAAGCAATTATTTTTTTTTTTTATGTATTGGAATATATTTTAAAATTCTTGTTTTTCCTACTTTCTTCATAAAATGTTTTGAAGAATTAACTTTTTCATATTTAGTAACCATCGTTGCAGGCACTTTCAATTATTTTAACTAAATAAACACTTCAAGTACCAATTGCCTTGAAAACCCCATTTACTATAAGATGACTGCCAGAAAAGCATATTTGCAGTAATGAAATCAATGTGACAGCCCAAAAGCTGGCATTTCTACAATAAACACTCATAATCGATTTGGATCCAAAACCACTTGCATACAATGTTGTTCAGGATGTTTCCAGCTAGAAATGATTCTTTTAAAAAATACAAAAAAAACAGTAAGAATAATGAACCAGGAAAATTAAATTTATTCAACTTTCAATATGACATCTTTTAAAATTCAGCACAAGCAATTAAACAATTCATTGGGGATGGGGCGGTTCAGATAGACTTCACTTTTTTTCTTTAAATTTTTTCCTATTTGTTTCCAGAGAAAAACTCGCACAATAAAACCACGAGTAACTGTGGAGCTTGGAACCGAGAAGAATGATGTAGATTACGAGTGGCTCCCAAAGGAAATGCTGCAAGAACTGAGTGAGTATTTATTTTTGCTGAGTGAGGTGATAAAAATACAGGTAGTAGAATTTAAACTTTTTCCCTGCCGAGTGTACTGTCAAGATGAAATTGTTTGGTGAATAGAATCCCTTAAAATATTTTTACAAATTCTCTAGGTATTTGATCTTCCAACCTGAATAACAGCACTAGGTGACACATCCATTAAGCTAGCCTTTAAATTTTATGTGATCTTTGCTTCTAATATTTAATTTATTTTTATTCTATAACTGCACCACCCTGTCACCTGGTTTACTGAAAGGGAATAGAAAAAAAAAATAGAATAATCAAAGAAGCAGTAATCTGCAAAGCCAAAAAATCTCTGGATTTAGAGTAATTTTTTTTTTTTTTTAAATAAATTTTCTCCAATTTTTATTACAATGAAACTTTGATATTTTTTTTTTATTTATTATAGTTTATTACCATTTTTGACAAGGCAATAATATATAATACTTTATTTAATGATTCTGCCATTAACAAAATTTGGACCTTCTCAGATTGGAATCATAGTTGTCTTCATATCAATGTTTGCACTGACTGTCCACAAATAAAACATTGTGTAATGCTGCCACCAGCACCCAACATGTCTTTTCTTCAGTAACTACTGCTCAGTTATGCCTCCATACATCTGGTTCATTCTTCACTAACATTTCCCTTTCTTGGTGGTCCTAAAGTTGACCCTAACTGCCCTACCAACATCCTTGCCCATTTTGAATAAGACTGGGATGGATATCAACTACAGGTGAATCTTGAACCAACAAATGATGTGATCCTGCAGAAAGTTATTTCTTTTTATAAAAATAAAGCCAAGAGTCTCAAACACACAGCCTAAATGAATATCAGTTTTGTTTTTTAACCTGGAAGTGCATATTTCAAGGACCAGTTTATAAGACTATTGCATACTTTCCCCGAGTTCAATCTTGATAACATTCACTATTGCCTTGAGAATCATGAAAAGCTTGCAAGCAGCTGAATGTCTTTTTCATTGTAAATTTGATAGCATTCTATTAGAAAATTATCCTATGTAGAACTGGAAACAACATTCACATCTAATGCTTCATAGATAAAATTACCTTTTGATCATTTCAAGAACCAGACTAAAATAAAAAGCTACAATGTTATAATTAGAATATCTTGCAGCAAGGATGCCTCAGTTGTTTTGTGAATGCTCCTCACAAGATAGTTTTGCAAGGCTATAATTGTATAGCATTTAACTTATTACAAAGCGTATAAAACTGATAGTGAAGCCCCCAGTGAGTTTCATCCTCACTAACAGAATATTTGTTGTAATCTGTGCAAAATGACTTCTTTTTTTTTTTTTGTAGACAAGTCCCCAAGACGAGGCACCCCAAAGGTCTCTCCCCGAAAGCGTCGCCAGAACAAGCGATCTACAGGAGCTGGAGAAGAGTAACAGACTTGTTAGTGAAACCAAGATTAACAATTCTAATATTTTTTCCAGCCAGAGTCTTGCAGAGAGAAATTTCACTGTTAAAAATAAAATTTATTCCTCGAAGAAAGTCAATTTCCACCAAAATCATACCTAGGCCGTCTCCCCACCCCCATTTCTTTTTGTAAGTGTGTATGCTGAAATTGTTGAATAAAAGGTCCTGAATTTGTTAAGTTTGTTTCTTTGCATTTCCACCACCCCCTTTTCATAATTAGCATAAATAATGAAAATGCTCTTTCACTTCGTGAGCCCAAATGTCAGAATGTTTTGGAGGAGAATGAGCTGTAAGCAAAATTCTATGACTGCTTTGATTTCTGAGTAAAGTCAAGTGGAGCCAGACAAATCATGGAAGTCTGATTATAAATTTTAACTTTCATCTATGAGGAAGTTCTGGATGGATTCTTTCTGCAACAACCTGTAAAGAAAAATTAAAATAATTACTCACAAGTGCTATTATCATTGTGGGGACACACACATTTTGCACATCAGTATTTTAGAGGTTCCTATCATCACAAGTTGGGCAGGTAAACTGTCTATGTTCAAAATGTTGCATGACTTTTATATGAGAGCAATAAGTTTCATGGACAGATCATTGAACTGTACTCTCTTGCTAGCTATGAAATGAAAAATAAATTTAAATTGATCTATCAAGCAAGGCCAGTTGTAACTTGGTTATTGAAAAGTGAAGATCCACAAATGAAATAAGCTATGTTAAATCCTTTTACATAAAAGTTTAAAGCAGACTAATTGCTAAAGAAGGAATTGGCATCTATAGATTTGGTACCGTGTTGAGGTTGATCCTCAAGATTGCAGCCTGTCTCAAATTAATTACTAGTGGGTTTGATACCCACTAGTAACTGATTTGAGACAGGCTTGTTTTCCTCAGTTATCCAAAAATGTGCCTCATCTCAAATACTTTATTGATGTGGATAAAAATTAAGAATATTCAAGGAAATTTCTGGGGGTAGGTTTTAGTGATAGAGGAAGATAAATGACAGACCTGAGATTTTGCTGTTTCTCACTCTTTTTCATATGTTGTGGAAGGTAATCTGCACTTGCCTAAAAAGAAAAAAAAATGGTCATTTATGGCCAATGTGATTGTTTTAATGTTCCTATAATGTCTTTTCTCAGTAAATAAAGATAAAACTAAGCTTTTTTTTTTTTTTTAAAAAAAAAAAAAAACACTACAATTCTATACAGTATAGAAATTGTCTTAATATCTTTAGTACTGATTCACCACCCACTAACTTGCATAAGCCAGGGGGGGGGTCTCCATAGACTATATAAGATCACTAGAAGCATACATTTTGAAGTCATTTTGTTCTCCAGAGTTAATACTAAATTCTTATATTATTTTTATTAAAGAAACTTTAATCTGTACAATATCTATACACCAACCATTGCTTGGTAAGATGAAGTTTTCTTTGAGTCGCATAGCAAAAACTTATATTAATTTTTCTAGAAGACAGTGTGACCAGAACATTCAAATATCTTGGCTATTTACTAAGGCCTGACCACTGACTTATTTTCAGTTAAAAGCAGAGAACTGAAGGAAATTTTATCCAAACCACCCAGAGATTGAAATGGCTATTCAAGCAAAATAATTTTGTTTTAAAAGTTCATTTTTATGGTAAATAAAAATGTTTTGAATGCTCACCAATTGGGAGACAACTGCCTGACAGCCATAACACAAAAGGTCTGAGAGATCATCAGAATCACTGGAAATAAAGAATTAGGAGATAATAAAGATGTGAATAAAAGGCAAAGAAAATTTAAATTAAAATAAAAAAGTTTATGCATAAATGTAAAAAACAATGTTAAGGGAAACAGTTCTTATGACTGGGAAAGTAGAATGATTTCATTTTTATGCCCACCTCAACTAGAGAAGCATGATAAAATTTTCTCATAGAGCCCTTTTTAGAGTGAGTCAAGTAATTTCCGTTTTTAGGAACCAATTGTAATGACAAATGTATTATCTTTACTACTAATCATATGTGATAATTAAATTTGAAGTTCACTAACATACAACAATGTTCATTGCAAAAGGCAATAGACTGACATGGATAAATTTCTGCAACCAACCCCCAAAAGCTGAGTTCCATGGAAGAAAGGTAATATCGTGTGTTATGGATATAAGTCATTTAAAGTTCTTAAAATGGAATGAAACACTAATTTTCCATTTATATATCCAGCAACTGTAATATATCCATAAAAGTTTGGTCAAAAAGAATGCTGCACTCGTCAGGAGGAAAAAGGTTATTCTCCTCCAGGACAATGCAAAGCAACATACAGCAACAATAATATGGGGAGGGGGTGGGGTAGCTGGTCTGTTCTACCCCACTTGCCATATTCCCCTGACCTTGCAGAATTTAACTCAAAATGTAAAAGGAGCTGCCTGATAAGTAGTAACAAATAATAGTGAATATATAATTGAATAAAATGCAATTTTACATTATTCTTTGAAGAATAAAGTTGATAAACAAAAATGAAAATTATTTATGACTCAAACTGATAAAAGAAAGAATCTAGCAATCCTTGACTGGTTTGAAAATCCTTGTAAATTATCTCAGTGGGTGCGATGGCTAAACTGCCATGTTTGAGGCAATGGCAATTTTATTGAATAAATTTACTCTAGTATTTCAAGATATTTTTGTGTAATTTGGCAAATATATGTTAAAATGAGACATCAATGTTATTTTCATTTTTGCATAATTTAGATAATTTATCCCTCGCACACTGTGTGTGTGTATATATTTTAACCCATGCACACTATCAAAGCAAGATAAATATCAAAGTTTTCTACTCACTGTCCATTAATGATTCCATTTTGCTGAACTAAAGAACCTCCTTTTGATAAAACATGAGATAATCTGAGGGAATTGAGAGCAGAGGCATTGTCAACTGAAGTGTCTAACCAAGCCTGAAATAAAGAAACAAAGTGAAAAGAAATCATGAAGATTTGTTATCATGTAGAAAACATTTCATTGTGGAGGTTTGTTTTTTTTTTTTTTTTTGAGAGTTAATAGAAAAATACTGAATTGATAAGTAAAAGATGGAATTTTCTCATTTCCACCAATTTTGTGGAATCATGTCATGTTATCCATTTTGCTAGACCAACAGTGTTCAAAATAATAATCCATCTGACACACAAATTATTAAAATATTAAGAATGTTAGAAACTTAACAGTTGTCCAGAATAAAAATAATTCTGCAGTACTCCAATCAGCCGACATATTTGCAGTGTGCTTGTAATTTTATCTGGAGCTGCAAAAAATTTTTTTTTACATGTACATGATTTTTTTGGGATTTATTTTATTCAGTTTTGTCATTTTACATTCAATAGACTGATTTCTACAGTATAATGAGTTGGTCATGATTACCCTATAAATCACCAGAAGGCTGGAGAATGAAATGGTTAAGACATTGAAAAAGAACACAATAGAAATTAGAATAGTAAAGAACTTTGACAAGAATCATGAACCTTTCAAATTTTGTTCAGACAATCTGAACCAATCAAATACTTGATGTTGCTAATAAATTATTTTAACCTATTCATTCTCCATTATAAGGAGAATATTTTTAAAACTATTATCTTTTTATCACATCTCAGCCTTGATATTCTTAAGTTTTCTACAGGTACAAGTTACATTTATGAAAGCCAAAAAATATGCTGGACAAAACAGAAAAAAAAGGAAGGATGAAGAGATTGAAAAATATGGAATAATGAAAAATACTTCACCTTAAACCTTCAGACAATGAAATAGGGTAAAAAACTCAAACGAAAATTCTGTTAAAAACAACAAAGATAAAGATAACAATCCAGTCCAAAAGTAAATTTGGAGAGATAAAGATATCTCTAAAAAGCATAGAAACAACTTTGAATTGAAAATTATAAATAATGTCGCCTATTTTAGTATGTTGGTCCATATCAGAGGTAGGATGTTGGGTATATGGCAGTAGAGGATGAAGAGGTTTGCCAATAAATTTTCATTTTTTTTGCCTTGTTACGAATGACAGCTAAAAGGCAGCCTGGTAAAAAAAAATACTCATCTGCATGAATTGACAGATTACAACTAGGAATCTGTGTATGGAGCTGAATGCCGGCTCTAATGCACTGAAAACAAATTTGGCAATGTTGCAATATCACAAAATTTGTGCCAAGTGGGTCTGATAGGTACTTACACAAGATTAGGAAAACTACCAAATGTCAGTCTGTGATGACCTGCTGAACTACAAGGTCACAGTTTTCTGGACTGATATGAAAAAGTGGCTTGTCACTGCTGATTTTTACAAATGTGCCATGGCAAATCATGGTGACTATGTGGAAAAAAATAGGAGACATTATTTTCAGAGTATCCCCACATCATTTTTTTTTCATTTGGATTCTGTCAACATGTTTTTTCTCTCTCTCTCTCTATAATGTGGATTGTCTAGATAGATGCTTATGTCAAGTTTTTCCATGAGAACTCGACAATATCAAGTGAAAAAAAATGTAAAATATTTGTCTACAGATATTCAAATCTTCAGGAAGAAAACTTATTCTTGAACAGACACTAATAATTACATCACCCACTTCAATTCTAGAAAATATTTTCATTAAGTAAAATGTCTCATAATCCCTTTCAATCCTACAAGCATTTTTTTACTTTTATTAAGTGGTTATCGATCAACATAACTTTCAATCCTATAAGTTCTCTAAAATAAAGAAATGTAATTAATGTTACTGTCTTCATATTGAAATAGGGAATGTATGTTTATATCATTAAACATTTTGTTTTCAAATTGGTCAACATTTTGAAAACAAATATTTGAGAAAAATCTAATCAGTTTGAACAAAAGATTATCCTTTTCAAGGAATAAACATGGCCAGGTCGATATCTTAGGTTTGATAGGTGTCAACATATTTCAATTCATGCATTCTACCAAATTCGTTAAATGTATGCAGGGTTTAGCATGGGAATTACCAAGTGGTATAGCGCCCTTTGGAGAGATTAATCATTTTCTATATGATCATTAGATAAAACCAGTAAATTTTAAGACTGCAGATAGTCAAAACAATTATACTATCATAAAGGAGTTAAACCAAATGTCCTGAACAAGAATTGGTATTTGGTATTTACTTGATTCCCACAAAATCAAGATGTGACACAAGGTCGTTTAACGTGGGAGACCCGAGCGTTTCCACTCAAAGGCCACTGGTCAAAATTGGTCATAGCTTGTCCAAGCTGGTCAGAGCCTAGTCAAAGGTGGTCATGACTTGTCCTAACATGTCCAGGCCGAAGCCAGTGATGTAGACTCAGCTATTACGGAAATAGATACAAGTTCACATGACAGAAAAAAATCAATTTTGTTCCATCTAATTAGCCCTAGCAGTACGTCAAAGAACAATGCAGTCTCTTGAATGTAAAAATCTGCATAAAGAATATAACAAAGTATTCTTTCAGCAAGAAAAAGAAGGCATTATAGAAAGAATTCACATACCATTTGTAGAATATGGAAAATATGTTTTGGATTCCACATAGACCTGTGTTCAAAATGGAGTCTCAGGCTACAACAAAAATTAGATCGGTTTTCAACTGTTCACTGAAAATGAAGAGCAAGTGCTCCTTAAATAAAGCTGCCTATTCAGGAATAAATATGATCAACAATATGATCAAGTTATTGTTAAAATTCAAAACAAACAAGTATGTTATGTTAGGCGACATAAGGAAAGCATTTCTAATGATTAAACTTAAAAGGGAGGAAGATAAAAACAAATTCTGTTTCTTCATAAAAAATGGAGATGAACTGTTGTCCTTCAGATATAACACCTTCATTTTATGGGTTTACCACAATCACATTGATTCTTAATTATATTTGAAAGTATCATGTAGAGCAGTACCGGCTTGATGAATGAACTGAAATGCTCAAAAATAATTTTTATGCAGATAATCTACAACAAACTAGCAATTATCCTGATAAACTTATCAACTTGTATATAAAGGCGATTGATAGACTCAAGGAAGACAATTTCAACTTACACTCTTGCAACCCTAATAGTAAGGAGCTTAAATCAATTATGGTAGAGGAAAATACCATTTCTCAACATGAAGATTATGAAAAGATATTAGGATATGATTATTGTCCTAACAATGATACAATGACAAAGATCACTATAAACCAAAATGGAGGACTAAGAGGCAGATATTAGCCCAGTCAGCCAGGATTTCTGACCCATTGTCATTATATGTACTTGTTACTATAAGATCGAAGTTAATTTTAAGGAAAATTTGGTTTATGAAATCAATGAGGAAATTCCAAAGAATATACTTGAAATATGGTCTGCCTTAGCAGAAGACTTGTCTACATTATCCAACATCTCTTTCGCACATCAAGCTATTAATACAGAGGAAGCCTTTAAGCTTTATACATTTTGCAATGCATCTTTGCATACATATGGATTCATTGTTTATGCAATGTAAAATGGGAATTCAAACATAGTGTTCACCAAAGGAAAAATGGCTTCATTAAAAACAAAATCCATTCCTACCATGGAACTACTGGCAGTATACATAGTCTTTAAAGCATTGTCTACAATTTTGAAATCATATTCAAACTTTATGATTGAAAATGTGTGCATTATGTTAAATGCACAAGTTGTACTATCATGGTTACTTACTGAGACACCTAAAACCAAAAATCTATTTGTCAGAAACTGACTTAAGGATATGCAAGCCATGAAAGATCAAATTGAGAACAATCATAAAAAAAGGATGAACATTAAATACATACCATCAGCAGAGAAACCTGCTGACCTGATTTCACAAGGAGTTAACCCTGACCAGTTCATGACTAAATTGGAGTTCTGGAAACATGGTCCATCATGGCTAACAAAAGACTCTTTTTACTGGCCTAGCAGCAGTCTGGAGTGTTTGAATTCAAGGGCTAAAGATGTTGTATGGTCAGAGTTGTGTTTTGGCACTACTACCAAGATGGATACAACCTCAATAATAAACATAGAGAGATTCTCTACACTTACAAAATTATGTAATGCAACAGCCATGGTACTTGAATTCATACATAAATGCAGTAAATGAACCAGCTTGAGAAATCATAAACTAAATGCAAAGTTATATCTCATCAAGTCAATGCAAGAAGAAGTGTTCGAAAGAGATATACAGAGGTCAATTAACTCAAGACCCTTGACGTGTAGATGGTCTTCAGACAATGGGTTCATCCGATTAACACCAAATTCATTCATACACCCATGTGAATGGAGAAATAAAAGTACATCAGAATATACCAGTTAACAACAGTACTAGAACAACAATAAACAAACTGATAGAATCTCTGAGAAACAGAGGAATTATTAGAGAAATTTAAAGAAAATTGTTACAATGAATATTTACTCAACCTCAGACAAGGGTATAAAGAACGGCATGAGATGTATTATCACAGTAAAATCCATATTGATGAAGTTGTACTAATTAAGAACCAGCTAAACCCAGGCAATTTTGGCAACTGGGCAGGGTCACAAAATTACATTTTGGAAGTGATGAAAAGGTTTGCTCAGCTGACATAATGAAAGGAGACAGATCTGTGGAGATACACAGTCTAAAACACTTATTTCCATTGGAATTGTCCCTGACCCATAACCATGACACAAGGGAACCTCAAAAAGATTCATCACAAGAAAGAAAGGCCCATGTCAGACCTAAAAGAAATGTAATACAGATTCTGATTTTGTTTACTATTAATATCATTAAAATAAAATAATATACAATAATTAATATTTTCTGTACTAACAGAATAATATGGCCAGAATAATGCCAAGGAAGCCCAGGGCAGTCTGCCCACAAGATTCCTAATCTTTTTATAATTTGTTACTAACCATTCTTTTTGATCTTTACCAGTTGACTAAATAGTTGCATATAAAGTGCA